TGGGTTTTTTAATTCTTTGGACATCGCTGTGCATTTGTGTGCAAACAATACATATATGTGTGGCACCATCATGACAAACAGGAAAGGGCTCCCTCCACTGATGAAGACAAAACTAAAAACTAGGGGAGATGTGAGGCAACTTCAAAAGGGCAATCTTGTTGCCACGTTACATCATGACAAGAGAACAATTTGTGTATTATCGTCAAATCAGATTGCTGGTGTTGCAGCAGATGGTCGGCCCCACTCACTTATCGACTACAACAAGTACATGGGTGGGGTCGACAAGTTCGACCAACAACTCTCGTACTACCCCGTTGGGAGACCTGGCAAAAAATGGTGGAGGTACATCGTTTGGCACCTCATCAACGCCTCCATCTATAATGCGTATGTGTGTTGGAGCCACACTCCTCGTGACTATGTCGCAGCAAAGGGGTACGATCACTTGAGCTTCCGTGTAGATGTTGCCGAGGCTCTGGTGAATGGTTTTAGCTCGAGGAAACTCCCCGGACGGCCTGCAACTATCCAGGGGACTGTGGCCCCGGAGAGTTTCCAACGGCATCACTTCACTCGTATTGCTGGGCGGCCTAAACAGTGTGTTTTGTGTAGTTTAGAAGCGAGGAAAACTCCAAAAGGCCGTCCAGTAGAAACGAGCTACAAATGCAAATTTTGTGAAGTTGCCCTCTGTAAAGTCATATGTTTTGGAAGGTACCATGAACTTGGCCTTGCCGTCCACAGGGCTTCTACGAGAACACAGAGAGTGACATTTTTTATCTTACCTGTAATGTATTTTTATACAGTTTACTTTGATTTTTTTTTTTCAATGTGTGTAGTATTAGTAGTATGTGAATTGGTGTTGTGTGCAAAAAGTTTATAGTGTTGTGAAATTGTTATATATGTGGACTTCGCAAGAACTGTACTGTAAGTTGGTTTTTACATTATTAAACTTTTCCTTTATTTCAATCCTTAGTTTTTCTTTCTCTGACTTTATACTTTATTGTAATTGTTGTTCTTTGATTGGGTATGCCATAAGGCCAGCTGGTATCATGTAATATGAACTAGTCTATTATTACTATTGCTCGGTGAAGATGACACTGCCGTGGGTATATCTGGCTCTTTATTTGGTATGGGTTGGGATTTTTCAAAGCCATTCAATGACTTAGCACCCAGGTGGTGATGAACTATAAATTCTGTGGTCCTGCCTCTTAAAAACTGGTTTAGAGGTACAAATGCTTGTCATATATATCCACATTGTGACATGACAACATATTTGCACTTATAGGTGTGAATCAATGTGCTATAAATCTAATGCACACAAAAATAACACTTTTTAAATGACAGAATGTCATAGAGCATTCATTTCTCTGTTGTCATGAGAAATTTGAAAGTTGTAGATTGTATAGTGCATTTTAAATACATTTTTTCCTGAACCACCCTAGACAAAGCTGCCAGAAGCCAAAATAATGTAAACACACAAGGCAAGGTCAGCTGGGCAGGAAGTGGAACAGTGCAGTAGACATGGCTTATCAGTTATCTGCCCACTATAGGGTTAATACCCCATCTGACCCTAGACCACTCAGAAACATTCTCGGTATCCTGGTGCAAGCAGCTGATGTATAAAGGATTCTTCTTCCAAATTTTTCTGCAAGCTGCAATGCAATTGTTGGGCTATGTTTTCTGGCTCCCATGAAGAAAAAGTGTTCTGTGTAGGAGAAAAAAAATTGTGGAAATATTCAGAGGGAAAGAGAAAGAAGAGCTTGTTGAATGTATATTTCTTTCCTTTTCCTCTGCTTGGTTGCACTTTATCATCATTATTATTATTCTCTGCTTAACTCAAAGCTCGCTTAAATGACTTAATGCAATTGTGAGCTCCGAAAAACTTTTACCAAATTGAAAGTAGCTCAAAACGGAATGTGGTAACTGGAATGTGCATTTTTATGCATTTCAGGGGAATAGGGATGGCATGGGTGTGACTAAAACAAAACGCAGCCCGGATGGTGAGAGGTACAAAGACCGGCAGATAGGGCAAGCGTTTGACCCCAGCAAGTACGAGGACAAGGTCGGCGGAACCTTCCAGAACTCGCCCAGCTCCAGCTCGTGGTCGGTCTCGGGCTCGATGCACAGCGCCCCTGCTGGCAGCCTCTACGAGCAGCACATTCAGCTTTTGGCGTCAGCCGCGCCGGGCAACGTGGTGAGCAGCACAGAGAGAAGCTGCGGGGGCCAGCCCCCACCCACCCTGCTCCCCGAGGCCCCCCGCCGGCCGCGACCCCCGGCCCACAACCCCGGTTCGGTCATGGTGGACCAGAGCGAGGTAGACTTCAGCCTGAACACCACCAAGAAAGTGCTGGATTTTGACTCGGACTCGAGAGTGAACAGCCTGTACGGCTCACAGGCTCCTCAGGGGGGAGGGGGAGGTGGAGGCGGGGAACAGATGTACTTTGACCCGGCTGATCCGGACAGCAGACAGACCCAGGAGCTGCTCTACAAGGTTCACAACTACCTGGGCCAGCAGTGCAGGGAAGGGAAGAAGACGACTGACAGTGTCCCGGTGCAAGTAAGCAAATTTTAATCATTCTTGCCTGTATTTTTCTCAAAAGAAATGCGTATTATAACATCAGAGAGTAGAGCTGGGTCGCGAGAACGGAGCTGAATGGCCACTCTTCACTGCGGATCGCGATTCACTTCAGCGAAACAGTATCGCCTTCTAATTCACTCCCCTGTCGCTGTCACCCCAGCGGCTTGTTTGTAACCTACTGCTGGGTTGTGAGTCGAGTCACGAGCGCAAAAACGGAACGGAACACTTAGTATGGCTCCCCTTATTTTACAAAAGATGGTATAGTCCAACCCCCCCCTATTAAAACAAAATGAACGGGTTCCAACCTATAGACAGATAAAATTTTATGGAGCCATTGTTTTAGCGAATCAAGGTGGGGGGGGGTTATGGAGTCACTAATTGAGGTCAGTAGAGCAGCTCAACGAAGGGTGGGAGGCGGAGAGGATGGCGGGGAAACAAAAGTGGGACTCGCGAAGTGACGTTGATATGACACTGTTCTGTTCACGCATACAACGAGCCCGAGGCTTAGTGTTCCACGAGTGCTTGCAAACTCGCGATTCTTTGAAGCCGACTGAATCACGAAACCGCCACTCTCAGATTTGACGAGAGAGAAAGTTTAAGAGAAGTCTAAAGACACATTTGTTCAACTTTTTCCTCCACCATAAAATTTGTATGTTGTAATGTGTGTGGGTCTGGGGTTGTGTGTACGTATGTGTTGTTGTTGCTGCTGGTAAATAGTCTCATTATGTATATCTTTTGTCCTTTGATTTGTCAGGTAAGTTGAGAGATAACTGCATTGTACAGCACTCACACCCTCCAACTTAGAACACGACTGCCACAGTGATAAGTGACAGGGGTTGATGAATTCTCAGGAAGTACGGCATAGGTCGCTATTCATTCCTTTCTTTCTGCTATGCTGAAATTTTTCTTATGAAGTTTATAGTTGGCCAATTCTTGTTCCCTTTCATCTCAGGGTTTTCGTTAAAGAATTTACTGGTATATCTAATCTGTATTGGTTTCTTTTTTCGTTCACGAATGTTGTGTTTGTCTGAAACTTACTTTTGCAATTGTTGTTTCCCTTCAGTTCTCTAGTCCTGATGCTGCCCGAACACGGGTGCAGTTGTCGGAGAAAGAAGTTCAGCGCTGCGTTCTGGCCAGACCCGACCCGCGACAGGACAGCCCACGTGGCAGCGGGGCCAACAGGTACCAGGGTCAGGGGAAGACCGACGGCGCGGACTGTGACAGTTTGACCAGTCCACTCAACACAGAGCGGCTCAGGCCTATCAGACAGCGGACCAAGAACGTAGTGGTAGGTAGTTCTAGTTTGTCGACTGTCACACGTCTCCTTTAAGAGTTAGAATTTATTCTTTACGTTTTCTTTCTCTCTCTCTCTCTCTCTCTCTCTCTCTCTCTCTCTCTCTCTCTCTCTCTTCCATCTGGCACTGTGACATCATCAGTGGTCAGCGATGTGGACAGCATGCAGGAACTCAATACTCGCTCGGGAGGTCCTTGAATCGTGCTTATCGTGGGTTGTTGAAATGTCCCAGCAGATGTGTTTTGGCACGATAATTCTTTACATTGAAAGGGGGCCTCCAGTCATGGGGAAAAAGGCATCTCTCTCTGCTCAAGGCGAGAGCTTTGCAGTTTTAAAAACAGTTGTCTTCGCCTGAGACCAGCTTTTACAGCATACTGGAATTTTTAAAAAATAATTTGCATGCATAAGAACGATGAAATCTGCTGTATCAATAATAATATAATATAACTGACAATGTACACAATCTGATAGATAGAATCGCCAGATGTATCAATGATATAAGAAAATGGATGTTCAAGAACAAATTAAAATTAAATGAGGATAAGACCGAAATATTATTTCTTCGTAGCAGCGCATGCAATGAAATCGACGATATCAGAATAAACATCAATGGCCACGAAATATCAGCCCAAACTAAAATAAAAAATTTAGGTGTGGTGCTAGATCAAGATATGTCAATGAAATACCATGTATCCAATCTTTGTAAAAATCTATATCTCCAGCTGAAGAAAATAGGGAGCATTAGAAAATATCTATCTGTTGGTGTCACCAAAACTTTAATAACATCACTTATATTGTCAAGGATTGATTATTGCAATTCCTTACTGGCTGGTGTACCTGATGAACAGTTACAACAACTACAAAGAGTACAAAATATTGCTGCCAAAATAATTACTAAAAAACTAAAGCATGATCATGTGACTCCTATTTTAAAAGCATTACACCTGCTCCCAGTGAAAGAGCGCATCATATATAAAATCTGTTAAACTTGCTACAAGTGCTTAAATGATTTATCACCGGACTATCTAAAACAGCTTTTAACACCCTATGTGCCTCCTAGAACGCTCAGATCATCAAGTGACAAAACAACCCATGTTAAGCCTAAAATAAATTACAAATCATATGGCCAACGCTCTTTTTCATATTTTGCCCCACTTGTTTGGAATAGGCTTCCAAAAACTATCAGAGAAGCAGAAAATTTAGAAATTTTTAAGAAGAAACTAAAAGCATTTCTATTTTCATCATATTTCGATTAGACAGAATCCATCCAAGCTGTAGATCGTTGTGAGTTTGTATGTGCGTATGTGCATATGTACGTATGTATGTGTGTGTGGTGCGTGCGTGAGTGAATGTGTTTGCACGAGTATGTAACACTATGTACCTTTAAAATTGATTTGTAAATCCATAATATGTATCATGTTAAGCGCATAGAGCATTGCATAAGTGGATATGCGCTATATAAATGCAATCCATTATTATTATAATGACATCTACTCCTTTCAAGTGCCAGGCAATGAAAAAAAATTATTTTACTAAACATGTCGATTTTTAAAAGCAATTATTTCTTATTATTCATTTCTCTAAAATTACAGGTGCACATCCTAGAGGACGGGTCTGTGTGTGTGGAGTTCCTCAAGCGCAAGGGACAGGAAGACAAAGTGATGGAGGTTTTGTCCATCTCGCACGATGGCTCGCAGGTGAGAATATATACTTTTAGGTATCGATGTGGAGTTGAGAATTATCGGGTGCTCTTGGCTGTTGATCGTGTGTATGATAAAGATCTGGATGGTCTTCTGTTGTTGCAATATTATGATTCATTTAAGTGTATGGAGTCCTGAAGCTGTGCTGCTATCATTTTTCCATGCTCTGACTGGTAGAATTTTATCAGTAAATAAACACTAATCTTCATGAAAAGAAAAATAGGGTCTAGATTCAATGCAAACTTTGATTTAGAAAAAACAAAAAAGAATGATACAATTGAAATTTTCTTAGACAGCCACACCTTGTCTAGGAGAATTGTAGCCATCTCAGACAGGTGAATGTTTTACACAGTGTCATTATAATGTAAAAATAACGCAGGGGAGTAAATGGGAAGTGGCCGTTTGTGCAGGTGATGGTCTTATACAGGTATCCATTAGAGCAGGTGTGTGATTGGCGGGTGCTCTGGTGTGGTTTGCTTCTTCTTTCCTGTCAAATATCTATCGTCCTTATCGCCCCTTCTTTTTTATGTTTGTTACACTCTTGTAACACCTCTGATCTTCTGGTGCTCATAAGAATCTTATGCAGTTGCGAGCGCCGTAAAACCTCAACTAAAACTAAGACTAACATTAGAGCAGGTTTGATTGTAAAATTGTTGTACCGATGTGTTTTTTGTTCAGGTGCGAGTGTTTCAGCCGGAGGATGGGAAAGGGGTCGTCGTGGTGGAGCAGCCACCTCCCCAGCCAGACAGGTGTAAGATGTTTGACTTCTCCTGCCTGCCTCAGAAATATGTCAAGAAATACTTGTATGCGGCCAGGTAAGTGTTTAGTGTACCTGTATTCAGCTAGGTAAGATTTTATTGTACTTGTGTGCAGCTAGGTAAGTTTTTTTACTTCGGGGGGGGGGGGTGCGATTTGTGCCTAGATTTCTTGAAATGGTTAATGGTACTTAGAAATGTATACTGTTTTCTCTGATGTGTTTTGTTCCTTGTTTCCTAAAAAAAAAGTATCATTCTTATCTCTCTTCTTTTTTTTTTTTTGTATGTTATTCTATAGTATCACCTTTAACCTTTGGATTTTATATGACCTATTTGCGTTGCAAATGTTGTAACTCTTAACAAAACTGTTTAGTTATAAACCAACCATTTTCTTGGAATATGCAAGTGTAAATATTTTACACATTTTTAGTGAGTAATGTTTGGTTTCATAAATTTGAAATGTCTCATGCAGAAAATTGTAAGAACAATAGTCTAGCATGATCATCATGAAATTTTTGGAACATGGAAATCTATTCATTTGTATAAATTTCACTCCACTTGCGTTTAAGATCCATAGAATGTATATTAATTGTTTAAAATTCAGGACTTGAAAATCTATTCACTGTGTTTTGCTATGTAAGTGCTGCACTGTAATTAAATTTATGAGACTGAAAAGAGTTCTAATTCTTTGCTAAAGTAATTTGTAACAACAGTGAAAGAGGTCAGCTGATTCCAAGTGCTTAACTGCTCCACCACAGACCCCAATGATGTGGAAGATATGGGCTCTGAAAATTGAAATAATGAACAAAACGCCCACCAAAACCATCTAAGCATTGTTGGCTTTTTCTTTCCTTCACATAAATAATGAGACTTACTTGATGTGTTGTGATTGTATTCTGGACTAATCGGTATCGACTGCCTAGTGTAAGACTCTGTTATGTGCCATTTTCGCCTCTGCAGGTTGGGGGCCCATAGTTTTACTGGGGGGGCAAAGAATACACCTGCCGTGATACTGACTTACTGCGCGTGGTAAGAAGCAATTAAAGGTGCATAGGTCTGGTCTCCGGAAAAGTGCCAGTTTGCAGAGGGCCAACTACCCAACCCAGTAAAAAACAGTCAGTTACAGAAACACTGACAAACACAGCTTTTTATTTTTAGATCTTGACTTGGGTGATGGAGGAGCTTCTGCATCAGCAGGAAATTAATGTACAGAAAAGTGGGAAGACATGGAATAACGTCAAGAGTCTAATCCAGGATAGAGAAAGGTGGCCAGGAAAGGTTTGTTCGAGGCCTTTACCCTGGTGCAGGGTGAGAAAGACATTTGTGATAAGGATGATGATATACCATTTTGAAAAGTGACTTACGATGGGGTCTCATACTGGGCTGTCTGTACAAGTTAATCCCTCTGTCCGTGACCACAAGAAGAGTTGGTGTGACTTGCTATCATCAGACTGACCGCTGTCCCCTCTCCAGGTTTGTGTCCCTGATTCAGTCCAAGACGCCCAAAGTGACCATGTACACACAGCGGGCCAAGTGCATGCTGATGGAGAACCAGCCGTGCCCAGACTTCATGGCCGAGTTTTACGATGGTAGCTTTCTCATATTTTACTCACTTTGTCTCTTCTTTTACAATCTCATCTTTTACTCACTTTGTCTCATCTTTTACTCACTTTGTCTCATCTTTTACTCACTTTGTCTCATCTTTTACTCACTTTGTCTCATCTTTTACTCACTTTGTCTCATCTTTTACTCACTTTGTCTCATCTTTTACTCACTTTGTCTCATCTTTTGCTCTCTTTGTCTCATCTTTTGCTCAATGTGTCTCATCTTTTGCTCACTTTGTCTCATCTTTTACTCACTTTGTCTCATCTTTTACTCACTTCGTCTCGTCATTTACTCAGTTCCTACTTCATGTTCAACACTCTTTGTCTCATCTTTTACTCACTTTCTTCCTGCTTTATGTTTGCTCACTTTGTCTCATTTTAAAAATGAATTTAATTATTGGCTCATCACCTTTTATGCTTGTTTTTTTAAAAATTCTCTGTGGATTTCGCTGAAACCCATTGATCAAAGGCACAAGAAATGTGAATTTTTGGTTTTGTAACACAGTGACTGATTTATGTAATGTATGTTGGCTGAAATTGTTTTCCCAGCTAATTATATACATGAACCTGTTCCCAGGAGCCAAGTTTTCCTCTGGTGCTAAAGGAGTGAAGATCATAGAAAAAGATGGCACGAGTCTGACACTGGAGTCTGCGGAGGTGAACCAGAGGCTGAGTGGAGAGACAAGAGATATTTTACAGTATGTTCAACAGGTGGGCTGGCTTTGATTTATTTTTATCATGACCTTTAACACAGCTTCATGTAAAAATACGAATGAAAGAATTCATGCTATTATCATGGGGACCTTTTTTTTCCAATGCTATTTGTACAAAACTAGTGTTATTTGAATCTGCCATTTTCCCATCCAGGTTGAAGTACAGTCTGTTAATTGAGAGTACTGGAAAAAGTCAAAACGCCAAAAGCAGACAGTTCCAGATGGTCATAACAATGATTGCTTTTACAGACATTAATGTGTGTTTTGATGAGTGGGGGATTTTTGTTCACTCTTATTATTTTCTCGGAGATGAAATTATCTTTCTGATAGTGAGACTCTAGAAAATGTTTTGAATCTTTTAATACTTTTCCATAACTCTTTAAACCCCATCAGATGCTGGGAACGTCCGGCGGTAATAACCCTGTTCCCCATCGGACACTAGGACTAGAAGCGTCCACTACTAGTGACAACTGTTTCATTTGATATTATATATAGTACTAGTTTTTGCTTGTTTTTTGGAACTATTCCCGAACCAAGATTTTTAGTAATGACTAAGCATTTGTTTCCGCCATTTAGAAGTTGGAGGTAAACTTCTGGGGTTATAATGAGACATAGTGCACCAGGTTTAGGTGACTGTAGAAAAAACTCCGGGAAATGGTGAAAAAAAACTCAGGGTTTAAAGAATTAAGTTTGTTCCTCACCTTTGTGTTTCCAAGCTAATTTTACACACACAAAAATCATCTTCCAGTGTCGCCAGCAGTGTGTTCAGCTAGAACAAGTCATTTCCTCAGTGCAGTCCGCAAGCTCAAGAGCTGACCAGCTGTTTCCCGTTATTGTTGGAAGGTAGGTCGATCGTCTATATTAATCCTAAATTGTTGTGTGATCGGGACAGTTAAAAAAAATTGCTGCTGTTTGAACTAGACAAGAACATTTTTTACCTTTTGTGGGTGGGGGGGTTTGGTCCTCAGTTGAGATAGATACGCAGTTGAAAACTTGTCGCTTGTCTCTGTATATTTTGTCTGAAATGATGTGTGTAAAATCTTCTGTTTGAAAAATCCCTGTACTGTGGCTATTGTTTTATTCTGTGTTGATGTTATGTTCTGCTTCTTCGACAGTTGTATTTCTTTTGTCCTTATCTGTCCCTTTCAAAATAGTTTAGTTTAGTTATTTTACTTACTTGTGGTGAACTACAGCTCAACAAGAAAAAACAACCCACATCAGTATTTCTTTTTCAGTGTCATTATTGTTATTGTCAGGTGGGTGTTCTGGTTTAAACAGGTGATAATGGGTGCTCTGGGTTGATTAACCCCCTCCTTTTTTTTTCCTACGTTTCTTCTATCATCCTTATGTTAACCTGATGCGAAACGTGGACATTGTCTTGCCACTGGATACAATTCAGTCAGTGGGTGGTTGGTGGGTGCTCTGGTGTGGTTTGCTCCTTCTTTCCTATCAAACACCTGTCATCCTTATCTCCCCTCCTTCTTTTTTGTGTTTGTAACTCTCATGTAACACCTCTAATCTTCGGCACACTTATGACCTAATTGTGTTGCATGTGCCGTAGAACACTTACTAAAACTTAAAAAATAGTTCTAATGTTTTACTGGTTTCATTAAAACTCTTTGTTTACCGTGTCTCTCCTCCCCCCCCCCCCCCCCCCCCCCCCCCTGTTGAAGTACCGTAAAGCTCTTATTAAAACTTTTAAAAAACGTACATGTCAGTAGCTCCCCAACACTTACTGGTTTTACAACTGTTGATATTGATTTCTTGTTGCAGTTGGTTGGGCAGATTGGTGGGTGGTTGGAGAGCACCACTAGTAGATCTTACTTTTTTTCTTTCCCTCTGTTGTTTCTATCTATCTGTCCTGCTTCTTCACTGCTTTATATGACCATTATTGTGTCGATTTTGCTTTCTGTTATTCAAAGTGGACGGTTGGCAGGTGCTCTGGTGTGGTTTGCTCCCTTCTTTCCTATCAAACATCTATTTTCCTTATCTCTCCTTTTTTTGTGTGTGTGTGTGTGTTTTTTACTCTCTCGTAACACTTCTAATCTCCGGCACTTTCATGACCTAATTGTGTTGCAAGTGCTGTAAAACTCTTACTAAAACTAAACTAAAGCTTCTATCGCCCTTTTCTCCCCTCCTTTTATGCGTTGTAACACTTTTCTAATCTCCAGCATTCATATGACCTTATTGTTTTGCAAGTAAAGCATCTGTACTCAAACTCAGCAGTTTGAGGGTTTTATGACCCTTGGTATCGACTCAGCCTTAACACTCTAACTTACCGTGTTTCTTTCCCACCCCCGTGGTACACACAGACGGCCCGACCGGAGCTGCCTGGAAAGAACGGGCTCCAGTTCAGGCAGCAGCAGCAGAGGTCACGGGGTCAACGACACTCAGCTCTCCACCATCCGACCCAAAGTACAGGTGAGGAGACAGAGAGACATTAGACAATACACTGACAGTCAGCAACATTTGGTGGGAAACAGAGGGCTGTATCACTTACTTGCATCAAAGAATTTTTATGGATGTGTACAAAGCTTCAGCCAGATGTATTAGTTCTAAAGAACTTTTTGAATTGATATCATTTAAAAGTTCAGGCTTTTTTTTTTCATAGCCAGTTGGCACATCTGTATCCACTTTGTGCCTCTCAGAGATACACATATATGTCCGTGATCATATTCACTTTTTTTTCCTCCCAGATACCCACATCTAACAGTGATCTTTTCTGCTTTTTCCTCCCTGGCGTCACTTTTTTACCTCTCGTATATCCACATATAATACATGTCAGTGATCATATCCACTTTTTCCCTCCCAGATATCCACATCTGTCGATAATTATGTCCACTTTTTCCCTCCCAGATATCCATGTTAGTAATTTAATTATGTCCACTTTTTCCCTCCCAGATATTCACATTTGTCAGTTATCATATCCTCTTTTTCCCTCCCAGATATTCGCATTTGTCAGTTATCATATCCTCTTTTTTCCTCTCAGATATCCACATTTGTCAGTTATCATATCCTCTTTTTTCCTCTCAGATATTCACATTTGTCAGTTATCATATCCTCTTTTTTCCTCTCAGATATCCACATTTGTCAGTTATCATATCCTCTTTTTTCCTCTCAGATATCCACATTTGTCAGTTATCATATCCTCTTTTTTCCTCTCAGATATTCACATTTGTCAGTTATCATATCCTCTTTTTTCCTCTCAGATATCCACATTTGTCAGTTATCATATCCTCTTTTTTCCTCTCAGATATCCACATTTGTCAGTTATCATATCCTCTTTTTTCCTCTCAGATATCCACATTTGTCAGTAATTGTGTCCTTTTTTTTCCCTCCCAGATATCCACATCCGTCAGAAATTTAAATTATGTCCACTTTTTCCCTCTCAGATGTCCACGTTTGACGGGACGCTGACGAGCACCGCGGCCGACCAGACCCTGGACAACACACTACTGACCACTGCCTCCACCTCCTCCTCCTCCTCCTCCTCCTCCTCCGCCTCATCCTCCTCGGGGAAAAAGAACGCATCTCCCTCCTCGCGCCACGCCTCCTCCACCCAGCCCAGGTCCTCCTACGTGGTGCAGCAGATGTTTGTCCCGGACATCGGCTGGGCCTCGCAGACGGCCGCAGGGGAGGTTTGGGTTCGGTTCCAGGATGGGACGCAGCTGGGTGTCAAGTCTACTGCCACGACGGTCACTTACGTCAACGCCTCTGGCAAAGTGCACAAGTAGGTGTCTCACGTTGTTAGTTTTTAGACTTTTAAAAATGTTTTTGAGGTGGGGGTCATATATTGAACTGAGAATTTGTGATTGGGGGGGGTTTACAAAAAATAGAGAAAGCCTGTCGCAATCTTGAAAGTGATATACACTGCACGCATATACGCACCTGTAACCTGGTTCATGACAATCAAATTTGGGATGCATAGTCACTGAGATAAGGAATATTATTATTTTGGACAAATTGGAATGCTTGTCACTGTGTATGATGAATAACATTTGAATAGCGCAAATTCCCGCTCAGCAGCAAGCTGTGTGTGCTTTACAATGCTACTCCAGCAGACCAGATAACATTCTGAAACAATCTCAAGTTCCCGGGAAGCTTGTAGAGCTAACAGCTATTTTACAGGCGCGAAAACACAAATGCTGACGAGATGACCTTTCACTGTTTCTAAAGGTTTTTGTCTTATTTTGTTATTTCCTGACCCTTTTATTTCTCACCCCCAGATTTCACCAGTCGGATTATCTGCCCGACGTGGTCAAGAGCAAACTGAGCAAACTGCCGCTGGTGCTGGAGACGCTACGGACCAAATCTCCGCACACCCACACTGCCGGCTCTTCCACGTCACCGAGATGAGGAATACTGTTGGAATAGTATCATCATATACCACACTGCAGATTATTCCCACGTCACCGAGGCGAGAAATACTTCTCTGTCGCTGAGATGAGCAGTACCGTAGGAAGCCCCACTGCTCACTGACTGCCAGCTTTTCCATGTCTGTGGGCTGAGAAATACCGTTGGGATAGCATCGTCAGATACCCGTGGTTTTTTTTACCACATCGCCTAGATGAAAAGTACTTCTGGGTCACCGAGATGAGAAAATCCTTTGGAATAGCATCGTCAGACGCCTATGGGTTTTGGTCCACATTGGCTACACGTTAAATACGTCTTGAGTCACCGAGACGAGAAACACCGTTGGAATAGCATCGCCACACACTCGTGGTTTTTCCACATCATGTACCTGAGAAATACTTCTTAATCGCTGAGATGAGAAATGCTGTTGTTCTCCACGTCACCGAGGTGAGAAATTCCTTTTGGATAGCATCGCCAGACACTCGTGGTATTTTTCTCACATCGCCCAAATGAGAAATACTTCTGGGTCGGGTCACCGAGATGAGAAATGCCATTGGAATAGCATTGCCACACACTCAGTTTTTTTCACATCACTTAGATGAGAAATACTTCTAGGTCACCGAAATGAGAAGTACTATTGTTCTCCACATCGCCGAAGTGAGAAATTCCGTTGGGATAACATCACCAGACACTCGTGGTTTTTTTCCCACATTGCCCAGATGAGAAATACTTTCGGGTCTTCGAGTTCGAGATGGGATATACCGTTGGAATAGCATCACCAAATAGTGCCGGTTTTTCCACATCATCGAAATTGAGAAGTGCTGTTGTTGTGTCCACTAAACAGCAACTTCCGCCCTGACAGCGAGCAAGGACTGGCTCCCAAGGGGGTTTCTGTCAGGCGGACACCGGTGTTCTGTTGTTCTTCCAGGCCACGGAGGTGAGAAGTACTGTTGAAGCAGCTTCATCGGACAGTGCTGCTTCTTCCACAACTCGGAGATGAGAAAATGCTGTTGTCAGAGCAGACACGCTTGTTGCTGCTGATGTTGGTTTCCTGATGTTCTTCTTGTTGGATCTTTTTATCTCAGTTCACCAGTTCACCATTTTGTGCTATTGGCTTTATTCTGATATATGTGATGATAAAGTGAGGAATTGTGTATACATACTCTCTCCCCTTGTCTGTCAGTCTGTCTGTCTGTCTGTCTGTCTGTCTCTCTCTCTCTCTCTCTCTCTCTCTCTCTCTCTCTCTCTCTCTCTCTCTCTCTCTCTGTGTTTGTGTATGTGTGTCTCTCTCTTTCTCAGTTCTGTCTTTTACACTCTCTCTCTCTCTCTCTCTCTCTCTCTCTCTCTCTCTCTCTCTCTCTCTCTCTCTCTCTCTCTCTTTATCATTCCTTCCCTTCCCCGTTTCGGGGACTATTCTGTTGTTCTATTCTCTATGACTCTAAACCTTAAACCATTGGGTGACAACTGAACACAGAAAAATTGTGGTCTTTCTGGACCTTTAAAGTAGATTCTTTCTGAAAGAGCTTTTAGTTTTGATCGGGGGGGGGGGGGGATGTTGCCTTTCCTTTTTAAATGTTTTCTATCAAATGTTGTAAATGAAAACAGTGTTTGTGATCATAAAACAATGGTAGCTTCACATATGAATCATTCCCTTTCTTTGTGGCCTTTCTTTAACAAGATGTTGTTTGTTGTGTGTACCACAGTGCCAACTGCAATATTATATGTTTTACCGGTCAATTTATGAAAGTCAGTCGCCGCATGTACTGCAGTCAGTTTATTGTCTATTAGTGAGATATTTTATTCATGATGTCTTCTTAGGGAAGAGATGAAGATGATCTGTAATGTTGTTCTGACCCTCGAACCTGTTTTAAAATAATACGTTTCTCAATGTCATAAAATATATATGTGCATAGGAAATTCTATTTTTATGTTCAGATAGCGAAAGCATTTGGTGAGGAGATTTTTTGTTGCTTTTATTTTTATGACTTGCTCAACATTGAAAGACAGTTGATAATATAATATGTGTATTAAATATTCATGTTTGTTCAAATAACTGATTTAAGGCAAAGAATTCTGAAGAAACTGACTGATCTCCTACTTGGGTGCTTGGCAGGTGCTCTGGTGTGATTTGCTCCTTATTTCTTATCAAACATCTGTCATCCTTATCTCACCTCCTTTTTTCTTTGTTCGTTGCTCTTTAGTAACACCTCTAATCTTCAGAATATATATGGCCTTCTATTTGTGTTACAAGTGCTGTAAAACTTTTTACTAAACCGTAGATGATCTTCAACTGTGCTGTCCCCGCTCACTCCTCTCCTCCTCCTCCCCACCCCCATGATTTGTAAAATACCAGTAGCTCCGAAGCTTGCAGTTCTTTGCTGGTTGTGGTAGAGTTGAAGGGTCAAGTGTATCTTGTTTGTTGAGAGTGCGTTTTTTTGCCTTCTTTATTTTACAGCAACTGATAACCACAAAGGAAAATTCAGTCAAACCTGCTCACTCTAACGGCCTCATGCATGATAAGACAATCACCTGTACAAACGGCCACTTCTCATTCCCCCCTTGCGCCTTTTTTTTACAAATTACAGTGACACTGTGTGTAAAGTCAATCACCTACGATCGCTTCCCACTACCCTACTTGCGTTTTTAACTATTATATAATCATAATGACACTGTCTGAAAGCACCACCTGTCTTAGATGACCATCATTCTCCTCAACAGTGGACGGTTGTCTTGGACAAGATCGACTGTACTTTTACACACCCACATTGGTAAAATTGCTGATCTCTTCAGGGCAACACTTTCGTGAGATCGAAGAAAGCAGGCTTGCTTATAAATGGTCTCACGTTTTAGTAGTCTTTACTCATCGATCCTTGACCCTTTTTGTGTGCGTGTGTGTGTGTGTGAATGGAATTGGGAGACCATGCTTCTAATAATGTCTAGTAAAATAAAGTGCACTAAGACTTGTAAATTATGGAAATGGCGCGATGTAGATCTCATCATGTGTTAACATACATTGTATTATATTACCAGTTGATCAGTAGAGATGGCTTTTGTGTGCTACTCCTGCCCCATATCAGTTTCATCTCACTATTTGCTGTAGGAATGATCCAGAATCAGGTGCAGTGAAGACTTATTAGAGTAAAGGAAGATCATTGTCATTATTCATTATAAAATTCTTTTCTTTTCTTTTTTTTTTTTTTTTCCAATTTTAGTAGAGACTTATATATTTCAATCCTGGAGGAAGACCATTGTCTTTGTCCTTTTGTTGGAATCTCACATTTATAACTCAAGTGCCTTACCTTACAGTTTAGTGCGGTTCTTTGGCACTCTGAATGTGTCAAATAATTGTGACGGGCATTGAGCATGTTGTAGAGTATGGATATAATGTGCTATAGATAAATGCAACTGCGACTATTATTACTATTTATTATTTATCTTGACCTTTTTGGGACTAGCATTGACTCCTGTCTTTAGAACTTTAGAACATGTTATGGAACTGAATTGTCTTTTGTCCAGAGTACTTGCATAGAAAGAATCAAGTGTGTGCTTAGATCATACTTTTTTCTTAGCGGTACTAGCAAATAATCACCTTGACTCGGAGTTAAAGCATTGTGTCCTCGAAATTGCAGTCATGTTCACATCCTTGTCCGGTCCCCTGAACGAAGACTGTAATGTTATTATTGTCCTTCACAGATCTTCCCACAGCTGGTCACCTCTGAAAGTGTTTATAAATATAAATCTCTGGCCCAGAGGTTGGGGTTCAATGACTCATCTTTGCTTACGGTCGCTAGCTGACGTTATACACTGGCATAGTTCGGCCTGCCCATGCCTTGATGTTATCGGTCAACATTATTCTTTGTCCACCTGTGGCCCTTTTGCCCCACATCTTGCCTTGAGATCTATCCTTGTCTGTGCTGTGATGGTTAGAGGCTCTGTGGGTGGTTGGCGGGTGCTCTGGTGTGGTTTGCTCCTTTTTTCCTATCAAACTCAAACATCTATCGAACCGATCTCTCCTTTTTTTGTGTGTTTGTTACTCTCTTGTAACACCTCTAATCTTCGACACTTATATATGACCTTATGGTGTTGCAAGTGCTGTAAAACTCTTATTGAAACTAAAACTATGAACAGGCTCTTTATTTTTTGACAGAAAAGCCACGAGTTTGATTCCCATTGTTCGACAAGGTTCCTATCCTACAAGCAGAAACAGGAAAATTCTTGGGGGGGGGGGGGGGTATATTTTATTTGGTGATTTTTTTTTTAAACTCATCACTGACTGAAAATGTTCTTGACTGAGGCAGTTTTGTGATCATATAGTAATTATTATATCTGACTTGTCAGTACAATTTAGCCGAGCCAATGGCACATAACTTTAGATGGAGCTTTCTTTGTCATTTTGATGTTGATCGAATATTATTGTTTATTTTAATTAGGCTGTGTTCCGTGATTTTATTTTTTTTCTTCTGATTTTAAAACTGTAGTCAAAGCGTATTTTCTGATTGTAAAACTCTATTTATTTCCTTTTTCGTCTTGTTTTCGTCTCTGTCATCTATTTTTTTTAAAATTTCACTTTGAAAGTGATTGGAAAATCCAGGGGAAAAGTAAACTCATTATAATATTTTTTTTAACCTTATGAGTGGGAGCTCTGGTTCAAGTTGAAGTTATTTTATGGTGTATTATATATAATTTCTTGTACAAATATTATTTCAGTCTGTCTGATGGGCTGTTGTTATTCCAGTAGGTGGTTGGCAGGTACCCTGATGTGGGTTTTTTTAATGTGTTTGTTACTCACTTGTAATCTTAACACCTTTAATCTTCAGCACTTATATGACTTAATTCACCACAAATTGTGTTGCAAGTACTGTTAAAACTCGCTGAAACAGCTGATATATTTCCTCGTCCTCTCTTTCCCCCCCCCCTCTCCCCAAGCTCTTGTTTGCCCTGACAGGCAGGGCTGAAGCAGCCTGACTCTTTCTGTCCCCGTGGTTTTATGCACCCCGCATAGTTTAGCAAAATTTGATTATTTTTTGCATAATTTCTGATTATTCTCCTATATCATTCTTTTGTTAAAATTAAGAGAATCGCATAATTTCACTTTTTTGGGCTCAGTTTGCATAATTTCAGAATTTTTCTTGCATAAAACTACGGGAACAGCTCTTTAACTATTACGATGTAAATTGTGGATGGTAGGAGGGGTTCTAAAACCTGTTGTAATCAAAATATGTGGTACATGTACACATAGTACAGAGGGCAGTTATAGCAACATTCGCCTCTGGCTTGCTTGTACAAGTGCGTCGTAAAAATGTACAAAGACACATAGGAGGAGGACTGCGCTCCTTTTTCACATCACCAGGCCAGTAACAGTGTACCCTTCCACTTAGATCTCCATGTATTTTCAGATGCACCATTTGGAACTTATGTTACCGTACCCTTTTTTGTTTTATCCTACTTTATCAATTTTTGATTGACCAAGTGTTTTATATCTCTGAAAATGGTGCTCATTGCAAGTTTGCTCTTACCTTTTTGACTTGTTAGGTTTTCGTTCTCTTGTGCAGTGTCTACTTATCTGTCGCATTGTCGTTATCATGTCTCACGCTGTAAGTTTGTTTTGCTGTGTACGATAAATGTAGGTGCACATAGTCTATACTCTTGTCAAATACTGGTTCCGAACTTGAGACGAAAAACCACAGCTGTGTTCAGCTCCACTAACGTTGTACTGTACGGCAATCAGCTCCATCCTGGCAGCTGATGTTGTTTAAAGTGAGAAGTTGACGGGTGCTCTTTTGTGGTTTGCTCCTTGTTTCCCATGAACAAAAATCTATTGTCCTAAACACCTAAATTATTGCTACCTGTCCATCTTTTACCAGTCCAAATGACCAATTTTTTTTAAAAATAGTTTTAGTAGAGGTTTTACGGTGCTCGCAACTGCCTAAGGTCATATAAGCAATGTACTCAAACAAACAGACATGGGTGATTGGCGGGTGCTCTGGTGCGGTTTGCTCCTTCTTTCCTACCAAACATCTATCGTCCTGATCTCTCCTTTTTTGTGTTTGTTACTCTCTTGTAACACCTAATATCTTTGGCACTTATTTGACCTTATTTTGTTGCAAGTGCTGTAAAACTCTTACTAAAACTAAAAGGAACAGACAAACAGCTTGAGTTGACCCTGACAGACTCTGACAG